AAAATATGATGCCCAGGCCTCCCCTGTGGCAATTTTAATTTGAAAAAAAAAGTCTTCCGTCATCATTTATGATGCATTATATAATTGTATACCTGAAACGTGATTTTATTAACCAATGTCACCCCAATAAAGTCAATAAAAATAAAAAAAATTAAATTAAATTAAAATTCTTGCAGCACACCAGTTGAAACTTGCTGCTCTAGAAGTACCCATTATCCTAAGGTTACTGATTATCCTGACCACACAATTTTATTGTTTAAGCAATAACTACGTACCTACAACTGCTTAGCGTGTGTTTAGAGGTACATAAATTATATTACAGTGTGTACATCCTTTTGCATTTAATTTTTCACTCAACATTGTTTTTTGAGATTTACCCACATTACTTTCTCTCCAGCTGTCTATGTAGGGATTTATATTTAGTTTGTTAATTTTTAACTCCCTTATATTATTTCATTAGGAATAAACCACAGTTTATTGATTTACCTTACCTGTGGACACTTAGGTTATTTACAGTTTTTAAAAGCACAGGTTCAATAAATACCTTTTTGTGTGTCTCTCTACTACCATATGCAAGAGCTTCTCTAGGAAGGGTAGGCATTTAGACATGGTTTTGTTGGATATGCTCATCTTTACTAGATATTCCCTAATCTTTTTCCGAAGTGGTTATACCACTATACTCTTGCCAGCAATATTAAAGCATTCCCCATTCTCCATACCCTCATTAATACTTGAAAATACTTACTAACTGTGCCAAAATGAATCTTGTGGAGTGGTAACTAATAGTTATGCTTAGATGCTATTTCCCTAAGGTCTCTTCTGGTCATATTATTGTGGTCACCACATCAATGCCAAGTCTTATCAAATAAAAGAAAGGATGTGGAAAAAAGCCTTCTTCCACAGTTTATATTGAATTTACTTTTTCTCAAGAAATGTCTTTCATGGCTAATGCTGGACCATGAACCCATAAATCAGGCCATTAAAGAGGAATGGGGACATGGCCCTAGCTCTGTATTTATTTTCTTGTACTCATAATCCAATGTTACTTAAAAAGCAAACTGCCCAGTATTCAAGCCAAAGCAAATACTCGAGATTTTGCCAGGCAAAATGCCTGTGGAGAAATGAGTCAATTCATACAAAATTCAAAGCTGTCTTTGGTCAGTGACATTTTCGTGAAAATCTGTGGGTGGGTAAAAGTTTTGCAAAATTCCTTTTTGCTATTGGATAAAACTCATCCAGGAAAAATAAGCAAAATTTAAGTGGCGACCCACATTCCCCCTAATTCCCTTATTAACACTCCCAAACCTCCCAGCACAACTGCTTTCTATTGCGCACGAAGGAAGCCATCAGTGTTTCTGATCCTGGCAACAGGATCCTGTGCCTCTGCTTACTCTGCTCCGATCAGATAGGCTTTCTCATGAGACACACTGGCAGACTGAACAAGCTTCAGCTCATTCAGAGCATACCTTCCTGGGAACACTACCCTGGCATTGCAAACTCTTCACCTTAATAACAAAAAGGCCTATGGTAAAAACATTCATCAGTATACACTCCGTTGGAACCATTACTATGGATACTGTTAGGCATGGTTAGTGTACATCTATAGTCTTGGTTTACACTTTTAGGAACGTGAAACAGGAGCTGAGGAAAAAAATTCAGAGACTCCAAGACTTGTTCTGGTTTGGAAATTTGAAACCTCATCATCTCAGAAAAATGTCAAAGAATTCAGCACAATTATACCCATAAATGCTCAAAAGTTTTATTAATTCCAAAGACTCATCAATGTTGGGGTTTGATTTTGCAACTAGAAATTACTTTAGTTATTAGCAGACAGCAGTGAATGGACTCAGATATTTTTAATATAATATTGCCACATCTTAGTTTCCGATTTGAGGTCTACCTGTCTGCCTAATGAGGACTTTATTTCTCAAGGCCTTTGCCATTGGCTAGGAATATCTCTGTAATCAAGGCAAGGCCTGCAAAGAGGGCACCTGGCTTGGCTTTCCACAGAAGCAATAAAAGACCTAGAGAAGGGTGGAATTGTTTGATCAGGAAAGAGGGAAGAAACAATTCTCTTCTTCCAGTAAGTTAAACAAGTAATACATTAACAATTCTACCCCAGTTCTGACACCTAGAATCTTAAGTGATCTGAACCCCAGATCTCAGGGTAAGGCTGAGAAGTTACAGTCAGATTCTGAGGACGCACTCTCCCATGCATGAAATAGAATTTGGCATCAAAGGAGGGCCCTAGTGGTAGCTTCTTACTGTAAGCAGGCTGTCACTGAGAAGCCCTTTCACACACCCTTCTTCTACCACAACTCCCAGAAGCTCATTGTGCTGTTTGTAGCCATGGTCACCAAACACAATTGGGTCATCACATCTTTCTTGGGTCAATAAGCTAAGTGAGTGAAAATGATGACGGATTCTAACTATGGCCCACAGAAAATTAATAGCAGTTCAACATACGTAAAACAAAACTGGACTGGTTCTTATAATTCAAAGTGATCCAAGTGTTTGCAGCATGTGACACAGCCGCAAAAACCCAAAGATCACTTCATGTCTCCAAAAGAGGAATGTGGTCATTTTACTTGGCAAGGATCTTGAGCTTTAAATCAACTACCATCAGATTTCAAAGCAGTAGGAGATGAAACATTTCAGTTTTAACAGCTCTTTGTGTCTGGAATCCAAGAGTGTAGAGATTGGTTTTACAAAAGGCAGAAAAATGCATCTTTTTCAGATGTGCATTTATATTACACACACTGTCTTCCATCAATAGACTACAACTGGAGAAGACTATTAAACTTTCACAGTAAAATTATTTGTTACCAGTTAGCTATAGCCCTACAAATTAAGCAAATGACATGTAGCAACATAACAATTTTCATATATAACGTTTATGATATGATATGTATGTGTTAATATGAAAATGGCTGTCTTCCTGCTAAAAAATACATAGTCCTAAGACTAGAACTGCAGAATTAGTCAGCTCCTAAGAAACCCTGTTTTGTATAAATACATTTGCACCAAAACATGTGTAAGTGAATGTTTTGTGGTTCTAAATTTGATATGGAATGAAATCTAACAATCTGAATTTTGCAAAGATTCCATTTAGAAGTGGGGAGTGAGCAGACTAAGGGAGAGAGAAATCATCTCTTATACCTATCCTAAACAATACAATGAAAAACTTTGTATAGGCCTGCAAACATTCACCTCTCTTTTTATTCTTTCACTAAGTATTCCTATTTTTAATAGTCATGCACTTTAGCAAAAGTCAACTTATTATATGCCTTTGCAAACTCTAAGAACAGAAAGCAAATGGGGAAATCCTATTGCACAAAAAATTAATTTTGCAATATTTTTTTCAGGTAATTTAAGTCTTTTTTTTTTTTTCAGTAAAGCCAAATCCACCAAACTATTTTCAGCCAGGATTAGTCATAACTAAAAGGTTGGACTGTTTTTGCTCAGAGACTGAATGTCTTTCCTGCCTGCAATAGGCCTATGTGTTCCAAACAGAGTAAATGGAATTGCCTTCAATTGCTTGTCTCTTTCTGGCATTTTTAACGCAGAACCCTACTGACAGAAAAAGGTTTTGCTGCCTGGAATGTAATTATTCTTTTCACTCATATAACCTGGCATTCTCACAATGTATCAGCTTCAGGTTTTCCTTCAGAAAAATCACAACATGGGGCATAATGTAACGACAAGAAATGCGATTTCATTCAGCTAGAAATTCTTAAAACTCTTTCAAAAATACTTAGTGGATGGCGCAAAGTGCTTCTAATACTTGCATTACAGATATCATGTATCTGGTTTGCTTTTACATGAATCAGACAACTTGGTCAATCTATAATCAAACTTAAACATGTTCCAGGTCTTTATCATCAAGATATACTATAAAAAGAAGAAATTCTGTCTTGGGGACCCCAGTCTAAAAAAATTCCTTCTTAAAATGATTTACATATTTTACACATTTAGTGACCTGTAGCGTATTCAAGATCTAGGGAGTACCTACAGTTCTCAGATTTTAACTCTAAAAGAAATAATCCTGCCCATCTACATTAATATATTATAAAATGCATGCTCATTTTCTCCCCACGAGTTACATGAACAGTCTAAGATTGTGCAACGCTACCCTGTGATCCCAAGGGTGATGTCCTGCTTATAAACACTGAGAGTTTCTGTTAGGTGTGAAAAGATTGTGAAATAATTTAAGAATCATATTATTAAAGAGTCAATTTTGCCAAGAAACAGAGATAGTTCCAGGATTGATGTTGTGAGGGGAAAGGCAGAGGAAAAATGGACACCATGCCCACTTCCTCCAACACCAAAGGACAGTCCTCTCTTAGTTCGTTCTCTTATACCTTTTGACACAATTCTGTCATCTTAAAATTCAGTGATATCCGGTGAGATTCTGCCCCTGTGTTATCCCTTGGGTGTTTTATGCTGACTATAAATCATTAACTAGTCTCACAACCCTGGAGTGTGCAGTGTGCAGGCAGGTGAGAGGGTACATGCAACACATTTTTACTGGCCAAGTTGCTAAGTGTGAGTTCCTTTCCAAACATCAGAACCACCCCTCGCCCCAACCCCAATACCACCCTGGTTATTAGAGAGAAAGAAAAATCACTGAATATTTGTTTTGGAGAAGATGTAAAGCTTGCTGTGGCACAGTGTGTGTTCCTCTGCCCTGCACATTTCAGCAACTTCAAGTTGGTGCCTGGCAGGCATCTATATTCCAAGATTTTGGACACTGTGGCAGATCAACCTCCCCTGACATGGTGGATCATTTCCATTTGCAGAAGAGAATCGCCATGTGAAGGGATACCCAGCAGCTAATAATTAAAGAAACTTTCCCCTTCCTCAGACTGAAGAGTCAAATCCTAGGCCCCCTCATGTCATCCAAATTCCATAAAAGGAGAAAATGTCCCCTGACTTGTGGGCCAACCTTGGAAAAATCACATGTACTTTCAATGGATTCCCATGGGCTTTGGAAAACTCACCGTACACTTGTTAGGCTTCTCTCCGGAGTGGACTCTCATGTGGATCAGCAGTTTATAGCGGGCATTGAATGGCTTGTACCTTCGAGGACACCCCGCCCAGAAGCAAGTGAAGTCTTCCCCTTTGCGCTGGTCTATGTGTACCTTCTCGATGTGCCGCACAAGTTCCTCCTGCTGGTCATACAAGGCGCTGCAGTCGATCCAGCGACAGCAGTGCTTGCCCCCGAGGTCGTCCATCTCCCCATCCTCCTCCAAGGTGGTCTGGGACAGGGCCAGCGTCTGGGCGTGGGGGACTAGCTCTTGGTGGTGCAGGTGCGGATGGGCGTGGTAGGGGGGTGGGGGACCTTGGGGCAGTGGTGGCAGAGGAGGCAGAGGAGGCGCGGACGGCAGATCTAGAGCCGCAGTGGGGAAATCATCCACGCGCTCCGTCTTCAGCAGGCCGGCCGGCTGGCCATCGGAGTCTGGCAGGCCGTGCTGCACCACCATGTTGTTGACCACGCCGGGCTGGAGGCCCCCGTGCTCCAGCTGGTGCATGCGCTCGTACTCCAGCGTGCCGTCCTCCCCGTAGGCAGGGAGTGCCAGGCCACCGCTGGACACCCGGACACCCTTCTGGCCACTAGGCACTGAACACGGCTGGGGGATGCAGCTACCTCGCACTCCCAGGAAATGCCCATAGACCTCGGGCTGTGGGGACATGTTGGCCGGGGAAGCCCTCGACCCGTTGATGTAGGCGACCAAGGACGTGGGAGAGGTGCGAATGATGGTATTGAAGTCTATCCCAATGCCATCCGACAGTGGGGACAAGGAAAGTGCTCTCTTCTTGGAGCGGGCTGAGTGAGACCTGGCTGAAGAGTGCCGGGGACTAGAGTAAGGAGAGTGGCTATTTTCCATGCCAAAAAGGTAGGATGGCAATGAGTTAGAGACACTGTTGTTGGACATGGCTGTCCCCGGAGGAAGACTAAGGAGATCCCCTAGATCGATGCCATTCTGAGAGCTGTGGTTGGACGAGAGTGAAGGGAGAGCCCTGTAGCCGTGAGACCACTCTTGTTTCACACTCAAAGACGACTGACTTTCCGTCAGACTCAAAGTCGTGGACGCCAAAGACTCACGTGAAATAAGGGACCTGGAACAGCAGCCAGAAAGGAGAAAAAAAAGAAAAGACAAACATTTTAGCAGGATATAGATTGCTTAGGAGCTAAAAGAACATTGCATTGACAATCCCTTAAGTATTTCCCCTAATTACATTGTCGGCTAAACACACATTCTTTGGCTAAGATAACACCAAGGCTTTTAGTTCCAGGTAAATAACATTTTACCAAGAACAATAAAGGCTAATACCCACTGGATTAATAAAACAAAAGATCTATTGTTATAAATCTTAATACTTTAATGACAATAAATACTCCTTGCTTTATTTTTAAACTTTTTTTAATGTAGGGGAAAAATTAGAGACCTGAGAATAATTATTGATGCTTGGCATGGCAAACCAAATAAGCAAGTATTTATTAAGCACCTACTGTGTGCAACACACTACAAATGGCCATTGTATGGGACATAAGTCTAAAGAGAGTCCCAGCCTTTGAGTAAAATCAATTTGGCGAGGTAAAACATAAACCCATGCTTGATTTGAAAAAAAGTAAACTCTTAAAGTGAAAGGGTCATCCAGGATACCTAATAATAATTTATTCACTTTGCAGCAATTCCTTTCTTGTTCTTCTTACCCTTTTTCAAAACATGCCTCATGTCACAATATTTACCTGCATATCAAAATGGTTTGTAACATACACTGGCCACTTTAAAATTCATTTTGCTTTACTATGACATTGTTGCCTTAAAAATCAGTGAAGAGAAAAGCTTTGTCCCTTGGATGAAAAATGTGTCGCAAAGGCTAAACATAACTCACTGTATTTCTCAACTCAGACAAGGGGTACATCAGAAAAACCTGGTTTGTTTATGTGTACCTGTATTGGCTTTTTGCAGAAATCTTTTTTCTTACAAAAGTTAATCAAATCAAAATATTATATAAATGTCTGTCTTCCCAGAACGAACCCATATACTACTTCCAGCTGTTGAACAGCACCTGTTGTAAAGGAACTGAGGGGAAAAGAGAAGCATTTTCACCCCATCTGTTCTCTTTGCTCCTTTTTACAAAACGGAAGCCAGGAACACTGTTTTGTACAAGCATTAGCCAGAAAATATCTCAACTCCAAAATGCACAGTATAACATGATAGATAACACCATTTTGGATATGATGTTTCCATCAGGTGAAGTAATGTTTACCAATGACAAACACAGCAGGAATTTACGTCCAGTTGCCCTTGACACAGGTTTTTTTTTCTTGGTCTAAATTCTTATATTCGGGCTGAAGTCCTCCTGCAAGCCCCAACTGGTTTCTGAACCATCTGCTTTTTAATTCCCCACGGACACTTCAATTATTTTCCCAGCACACCCGCAGCATGCAGCTCTCTCTGCAGAGCTCAGCTGAAGGTTCCTGGTGATTGAATGTCAAGAACCTTTTGGTCTCTTCCCCAGGGAGATCCAGGAATTACTTGACCCAAGCCAAATCAGTAGTTATGGTGTATATGAGGCAAAGACAACTGACTTTGCTTTACACCCTGAGGTTGAGAAAGTTTATAGAGCATTTTCAAATGGTGCATTTGCCTGGCCGCTGTCATGCTGGAGCATTTCAGATTTTTAAGCAGTGAATAGCAGGCAGAAAGTATTTTATCTACCTGTATGTCCTTTGTATATGTAATTATGTTATTTGGTTTGAGGGCAGCCTATATTGAGACATGTTTATTTGTTCCATTGTCCAGAGGTGTTTCATACTTTTCTCAAATTATGCCTAATTATAGCTCCATTTAAATCTAAGCATAACCCCATGTGGGCATGTTAACTCCTCAAACATTAGTTTTCTAAGACAGTTATCATATATTTTTCAAAGAGCAAAGTCTATATTCTACTCACTAAGGCAATAATATACACAGAGAACTCTCTTTTCTATCTCAAACACGAAATAAGAACAAAACTTCCAAAAAAAATGGCCTTGGCCTAGTGGCCCTCTTCCCTCCTGTGCAATTGCCCAGATCTTTTCTCTCTCAAAGTTCTAGTCCACGAAACCTCCCCCAAATTCAGTAGTTCTCAGTAAGAGCCCTCTTTCCAAAGAAGTTATATATTGTCTGTACCGTACTAAACAGAGCTAACTTCCTCAATAAAATTACTTTCTTCAATAAAATTTAAAGTCTTTCCAAAGAAGGGATCATTTTTATCTCCCCCAGTACCCACCAGAGTGTTAGATACATAATAAGTTTTTTAAAAATTGTTAATTAAGAGAGTGAATAAATAATCAATATAATGATAACTAACATCTTTATAGCTTGCTAAGCTTTTCCCCTATACATTTATTATTTCATTTGATACAGCCTGTGAGGTAAATAAACTTGACTTTTAAAATAACTTCTACTTAAGGACCAAATTTCTTCTAGAAGTACAAATGAAGCAGCATTTGATAGGCAGTCACCTAACTGGATCACATACACTCCCTGTTACCATATCCCACATGTGGTCCATAAGGCTCTGCTTGATTAAAGGACCTGGTATATCAGGCTTAATGTCACAATTGGAAGCCACTTTTTCTGTTCTCCTTCTGCAACAATATGTTGAGTAACTGTGAAAGCTTCCGAAGAACTCTCTCCTATAACCCCTGCTGCTATGCACACCAGGCCTATAGGAAACAAAGAGCTGTGGCTCTATCTATTTCTCTCTTATTTAGAGTAATCTCCATTTCCATATATTTATCTGATCCTCAGGATATTATTTCTGGTAACTAGTTGATTTGGAGCTATATGGAGCTATATGTTACATAGCTCAAACAAAGTAAAACCAATATGAAAGACTCAGAAAATACCAGTGAAACAGGTTAGGGTGGCTAGAAAAGCGAGAGTTCAGTAACGCTCATGGGGACATGGGGACATAAAAGGACTGATGGCCAAGGTGAATTGCTTGGTTCAAGGCCAAGCCCAAAGGAAATACTAACTTACATATCATGTGTAATTCCTCAAACTCATGTGTGTTTGTGTGTGTGTGTGGAGAGAGAGAAGAGGAGAGAAACAAATATATATCTTCATATAGAATTTTATATATTATTTTATATAATTTTATATATAATATAAATATATATACATATCCTACTCTATATGGAAATTCTTGTCTATGTGCCTGGACAAATCCCCTGAAGAATTAACACTGGATCTAAACACAGGATGGCTTTATAAAATGTCAGAACTTACAGAGAACCCCAACTCCATTCTCAGCCACCTTGGCTTCCTCTGAGCTTTGTGGACACAGCCTAACCCAAAAGGAAAACCTAGGAAATTCCATCCCTAGAAATCACCTCAATAATTTCTGGTTTAAAAGAGAAGAGTGTGGTGCCTTTTTGGATCTGGAATGATATTAGATTGATGGTTGAAATTTGTAACTGACAAGCTAAGCAACGCTAGGCAAAGCCCTGAGGCTTTGTGTCTTCGGTCCATCATCTATAAAACAGGGGTAGTTTATAAATATTCAATCATAAAATGTAAAAATCACAATAGATATGAAAGCACTACAAAAACTAAACATATACAAAATCCATGCAAGTAGCATCCAATCTCTTCTACTGCCCAACTTTTGCCAGACTTGTATATGAAGTGACTGTATGAGGTTATGTCAGCACATCAGTCTTATCACTTCAGGGAAAATATGTGCAACAGTGTTTGTATTACAGAGTTTTTGCAATGCCTAAATCAAGAATGGCTTCTGGCTCTTCAGGAGGGTAAAGTATAATTTGTACTCCTCAATAAGTAGTGTTATTCAGAAATGGTTGGGAAATTAATAGAGGCAAATATATAGTATTAGGGCATGATTCTCATCATTGGGTTAAACATAACCCAACAAAGCTAAGGGAGAGTACTTTTCCAAGATAAGCACTCTAGAAAAAAAAAAACTCAAAGAAGGTCAAAAAAAGAAATACAGTCAGTAAATCTACAAAAACTACTCTATGTTATCAATAATTAAGACATACAAATTTTTAAAAATATCATTTTTTCATATCATAGTGGCAAAAATAATAAAAATAATAATAATTTCTTATACTTGATAAGAGAACAGGAACTCTCAGACTACTCGTGAGTTTATAAATGGGTTAAGTCTTTTCTGCAGTGTTGTTTTAAGAATAATTATCAAAGCCTCAAAACTGTACACTTCCAGCAAATTTTACTTCTAATAAGGTAGTCTAATAACCAGAGATATGAAACAAAGTATTTACAGGATTGATTAAATGAAGTATTACTTATAACATTAAAATAAAATTAAATGCCCACTAATAAAAGACTGATAAAATGTATAGTTTTATTTATATGCTTTTTTAATAAAATGGAACCTTGAGTAGGAAGAGGCTATTGTATGATGCTGAATACTTTCATTACAAAAGTACTTATATTAACTGAACAAAGTAAGTATAATACTATGTTAGTTATTAGATCAATTTAGTATAAAGGAAAATCTATGCTTATAACATATGTTTCCAAAACTAGAAGGATATATATCAAAACGCCACCCATGGTTGCTAATGGGTAGATAGATTCAAGATGACTATTATTTACTGACTTGTGCTTTTCCATATTTTCCACATTTTCTACAATGAGTAAAAATTACATAGATAATCAGGGAAAAAGTAAAATTCACAGCTTTCTATAGGGTGGCCACCATTCAGACTGCACAGTTCATGCCCCTTCTCCCCTTCACTAACGCCCACCCCCCATGGATAAAACATAAAAGCTGATTCTCCATCTTTATCTCTAGACAGCAAACGCCTTCAGGTTGAACTGCTGCCTCTTATCCTTTCTCTCCTCTGATGGAACACACAAACCAAGGGTCACAAATAAATGTGACCTTTCCAAGTTGTAAAACTAAGTTTCATACTTCACCAAGCTACTTTCCAACTCTTGTTTCTTTGCCTATTCTGCAAGCAAAAAAAAAAAAAAAAAAAAAAAAAAATTCAATAGAACTCACAGAATACATAGACAAAAACATATGTCAATGCATCTTTAAGATGTCTTTTAAGGATATAAAATTATGATAAGGAATCAAATGTGCCAGAAAACACTGAGATAATAACCTCCGTGGTCAAACCATGAAAGAGACTGCATTAAGGCACATGGCTGGAGCAGCTTGTGCCCTGCCTACCTACCATCAGTTTCTCCATTAATTATGACTCTGCCTTCAAGGCACGGGCTGGACTTGCCACCGACAAGAAGCCAAAGGCTTCCCAATGACACCTACCCCGTGAGTACAGCTAATTTTACATGCAACACTCAGCAAGTCTGAGGAGTCCCTCAAGGCATAATCATCAATGGGGAAATGACAGCAGCAGTTTTCCATCACAAAAAAGTCTCGGGTGAAAAGCAAGTTTCCATATCATGAAAAAATTGGCATAAAAAATGGTCTAGGAGCTATAATTTCAGAGTCTCAAAAAGTGGCTAGGAGGACAGTGCAGAGATACAAGGAGGAGAAGGAGAGATATAAGGAAGAGAAGGAAGGAGAAGAAGAAACAGGATCCCAGAACTACAAGAAATCTCAGTAGAGTTCCAGCCCCCCCAACCCCACCCGGCCCCGCCCCACCACTGCCAAGAAGAGGAAGCAGAGATCCAGAGAGACTGCTTGTTTTAACTGATTCCTTTGCAAATCAATTAAAACAGAGCCAGGACTAAGGGGCAAAAACTTTGGACTGTGTTCCTTCAAGAAGGCAACTTCTAGAAGATGAAATAATCCATTTCAATTGCACAGTATTTTGTTTTTATGCCCCCTCTAATATCAACCTTAAGAGAAATATTTGTCTGAGGGAGTGGTTTCTCTTTTCCTATTCAATTCTCTCCCCCAGAGAGGTACGCAAGCATTTATTAGACCTATCTATTCTGGCACCTAATCAGGCACTGTGTTGAAATGTTATGTAACTCATACATGAAAATATGTCTTCCCAGACACATCATAAAGTCTTGAAATTCATGATTTCAATCTTCATCTTTCTACTATCTCCCTAAACTACTGTATTATGCACACATAAGGTACTTAATAGGTACTTGGGTAGATGGGTTGATAGGGAAATATATGGGACAGACAAAACAGTTGTAAAGCAGCCCAGAGACACTGCAAAATCTACACTAAAAAACGGAACAGGTAAGACAGATGCACATGGAACATTTCAACTTTCTAGGTCATGACATATGACTTGCTTCACCAGAAACTGACAAATTTACACACTGACCTTTTAGTAAGGCCCCAAAATCTCACGCTGGGCATTAATATCACTCACACTGGAAGACAGCAGGTATTAAATCATTTAAAACATTCCTCCCAATTAAGATGATAATATGGCACATAATTTTTATACACATTCCCCTAAAAATCCTCCAATTAAAAGAGTAGCTTAAGCAAGTGCGTGTGTGTGTGTGTGCGCGCGTGTGTATGTGCGTGTGTGTGTGTGTGTGTGTGTTTGTGTTCAAAACGGGAAGCGAAAACACTCATGGGGTGTGATTATACCATAAGAAGGGGAAAAAAAAGTAACTTGAGACCTGGTATCTGAAGGAGGTATGTTCAGGTTGGCTGCATTCATTGCCCTCTGTAAGCTAGGACTGATCTGGTTGCATGCTGTAGAGACCTGGCTTGCTGGAGGTGAAATGGGTCCCAGTCGCTGAACCATCATGGGGCTGCTGGTGACCACTAGATTGTTGCAGCTGCCTTTTCCAATGGACTTGCACTGAGGCCCAAAGCCAAGAGCCCCTAAAAACAAATGAATCAGGTTAGCTTTCATGTCCCTTACATCAGAAATCAGTAAATACACACATGTGCACACTTCTATCAGGACCCATCTTTAGAGACAAGTCCTTGGATCTTTTTTCCTTTTTTAGTATTAGTGATACCAAAAAGCTTCCTCTAATTGCAGTGAAAAAGCGATAATGCTACCATAGAAACTCATCTATAATCACCACTTATACAAAATGTGCTTATATTTTCTCCTTCTCTGTAGAAGTGCCCAGTTATATTAAGAATCATATTTTATCATCTCCTTACCTAAAGGGTTAAGGTGGTAAGTAGACGGGATTACTTATATCAAAGTAAGTTTTTTCTAGACTAGCTAATATCTTGAATCACCCAGCAAGAAAAGTTGATGCTGCTGGGGGAAAAAAAAAACAAACAAGCTTGTTTAACTGGTTTACTTCATTCCAATCCTGGCCTTCCAAAAAGCCTCTTTAAAAGGAGATACTCTGGCTGCGTCTCTCCATTCTTGATTTCTCCTCTTCATCCCAATACACTGTCATTGGACATAGACCCAATTTTTTAATAATCAGGATGAGAGAGCCATAAACAAAACACTCATTCTAATTAGTCATAGATTTTTAATTTCATTAGTAACAATCTTCAAATGTAGTAAAATTTGGTACATACCCAAAAGGGAAAGAAAAAAAAAAAGAAAGAAAGCCACAAGATTCTGTGTCGTTAAGGAAAAGTGAAAAGCAAAGAGGAGAAAAGAAAACACTGTCATGACTCGCTTACAAAAAAAAATAATAATAGTTGAATCATTCTAGACATTCTTTTTACATGGATGTATTTTTTAAAACATTTTTTTTTGGTAAACTACCTGGTCAAGTCTCAGTGACGTACACTCTGTTCCCATTTCAAAAGAAACAAAAATAAATATGATCTCACAAATCAGCCTCTAAATTTTTCTCACAAAATTTCCTATCTTTCTCATTGATATATTTGGGATCAAAGTAGGTGGAAAAGCATCTTTGTAACTTCCCTTAGTTTTAGGGGTTGTAATTTCCTATTTTGCTTTCCCCAAAATTAAACCAATAGCCCCCAAAATGACTGTCATCTTCTGTAACATTCTCTCCCAAAAGCCCACAAAACTGAAGAATAAACAAGACCTTAGAGCAATTACTATGCTCTCATCAATGAAACCAGATCTTTAAAATGCTGGGAGAGTTACAGCATCCCTAACTGGCAGGAAACCTGGTATGTATATAGTCCAGCCCTCTGGAAAACTAAAATCCAAGTGGTAACTGACCTGCCCGAGGTCACACTGGGATTTATGGATAGAGCAGAAATAGATTCCACCAGGGTATACTTTCATAGCGCCTGGTTGCTTAAGTTTAGGTGCTGGATGCTTCATTTGCTCTGTGGATACCTTTAAAGATCATTAGTTCTGAGAGAAAGCTCTCTCTGATTTTTTTTTTAAAGATACATGAGCTAGAACCTTCCCTCTACCTCTTTCTCTACAGCTTATATCCGATGCATCTTCTTGTGTGTTTAAAGATCATCTATAGTCAGTCTGTCTTCACAGCTCATAACACTGTACCATCAGGGTTTCAGGTCATTATCAAGAGTAGTGGATACATTTTTATGCAATGACCATAAACTTAGTATCATAACAAATTTCAACAAACTACATGCCACTTGCTTTTCAAATCCTTCTTTACCCAGGGAAAAAAGGTGCTGTGATGGTTCATAGCTTAGTCCAGTATAAACGACACTTGAATTCTCTCCCCAGGTCCCATCCTTACCAGCCACAGCTTTTGAAAGCAACACCATCTCTGGCTGGGTGACTCAGCTGGTTGGAGTGTCACCGCACACACCAAAAGAGTTTGATACCTGATGAGGGCACATACCTAGGTGCAGGTGCCATCCCTAGCTGGGGTGCATATGTAAGGCAACTGATCAATGTTTCCCTCTCACATCGATGTCTTCCTCTCTCTCTCTCTCCCCACCCCCTACTTCCTTCCTCTCTCTCTAAGATCAACAAACATACCCTCTGGTGAGGATTTAAAAAAAAAAGCAACATCAGATGTCAGTATTCTGTCAAATCCAATGTCACATATTTATCTAAGCACCTCACTCATTTCGTGTCTGTTGCCACCTCCGTAAAAAAGTATTAATATCTATATCTAAACAAAGACATGTTAGCATCTAAAACAGCACGCCCAAGAAATATTACTTGGTAGCAAAACATATTAATACATTCTTATATCAAATCTAAGATGCCATATATTGTAAAGCATACTATTATTTTCTGTACCAGTAAGAACATGTGCCACACTGTCGATGAAATTAGCCCATGGTGTTGAGATTTCAGAGATGTTCTGGCGTGAAAATATGCACACCTTAGAACGGGTAAGTACCAATATGATGACTGAGAAATTTCTAACCCTTGTCTTGTTTGTGATCTTCTCTGCCTAGAGCGCCCTTACCCTAAGTTGTCCACCAAGTGCACACCTCTGCACGTTCACAGTCTCAGTTCAGAGGTCACATCCTCTCTGACTCCCTCCACTCCCACTGTCAGCTGGGAAGGTAGGACCAATTCTTCTTTTCATTTCCCTGTGATCTCTCATAACGCATCTGCCACAAAACCTTCAGGGAACTGAAATGTTTATATGCCTGCCACCTCCTCCCCTTTTATACTTTACTGTTCTCTAAAGGTAAAGTGCTTGTTTAAAGAATCTCTGCCTCCTCAGCACCTAGCCCAGAGCCTCAACAGAAGACAAACAATAAACTCTGCCAATGAAGTTAAGTAGAAATGAATGACTGAAAATAAAAGATAGCTATTACATGAATATCAAATACTGAAAAATTATTTCCACCAAAACCGTCCTGGTTTTCTTTTTTAAAAGGTAGTGCTGTTTTTCAAATACAAACTCCAACTAAGTCAATCCTTTGACATACTTCCACTGTACTGCTAACTGCCCAGTGTCTCCATCACTTTTACTATATTAACCCCCACTCCCAAACACATTGGTCAACTTGAACCCCATTTAACCACAGAAGAGTGTTAGCTTCTGGCAAGTGTCACATATGGCATCCTTGAAACCTTAGGCTAAACGGTAAATTTCCTGGGAATAGGCAATGTTTGTGACACAGCTATGAGAATATTCTGGGAAACGGCATCATTTGTCTCAAAGGTGGAGGCAAACAACAGTTTGACCTTGGGCCACTATGCTCAAAGCAAGCATCAATTTTTTTTTTTGCATAATTCTAGAATTAAAACCTACAGACTACTGAGAATCATGCAGTATTTGAAGTGTGGGCTCGTCAGCCTGCCTGCGATCTGCCCCGTACCCTGCTAGCTGTATTCCTTGGACATATTACTGAAACACTTGTGTGCCTCATTTCCATGTCTGTGTCTTCTCATGTGCACATTGTCTAGCACACAGTAGGTACTCAGTGTATTGGCAGCTACTGTTGTTCTCATTATTATTATTGTTCATGACAGTGATCACATTTTTTGCTCCTTTCGCCTTCTTGAAATAAAACAGTTCTTCACAATTGCTTACATACAACAAGAGAGTAAATGATTCTATTTCATTCTCTACCCATTTCCAATGTTCTATCTACTTTGTCTGAAGCCAATTATTTTTTAAACCAGGTGTCACCTCAGATAGAAGTTTCCACTGGCCAAGTTTGAATGTTCCTTGGCTTGTGATTCCCTGAAAACAAACTGTATAACTTTTCTGACTACCACATGTGCCAACTACTTGTACACTGGTTTTCATTTTTAAATACTGCTTTTTAGCAACTGCACAATTTTTTTAAAAAAATATATATATACTGCTCAAATAAGGGTCTGAGTGGATGGCATTCTGAGTTCCACATATATTCTATCAAAATCACTGCATGTCTTTAAAAAAAATGCAAGTGCATATAATAAATCTCCCAGAGGAACAAATAGTGTGCAAAATATATTTGTGTTGGGTGCTCTTTTTCTCTTATGGACTCTCTCAAGATTGGCATCCTAAGTAACACACCTTGGAAAACAATCAATTAAAACATGAAGAATGCGCATATGAATGAGAAGAGATGGTAGGATGTAGACATGGAAACAGACCGGGGGGGAGGAGGAGACACGGTGTATACTGGGGAAAATGAAGGAAAGTCAGGACTGCCTGCAAGAGGGGAAAGGGAAACCAGAAGAAAGGGAGAAAGCAGAGCTTACAGGGCTGGTTTAGTCCACCTGAATTCGCCAATGGCTCCGTCCCTGGCTGACATTAGCGTTGCCAGGAAAGGTTTCAAAAAATGCAAATAGGCTCCACCCCGAAACAACTAAGCCAGATGAGGCTGATTCAACTGGCCTGGTGACACACATCTGCAACAGGGTGCTGTAGGTAGCCGTGTACCCCAACTGGGTACCATGTTTGCCCAAGGTTAATCTGGTGGAGATGGGGAGAAAGGCTGGAGGAGGACATAAAACTGGGCAAACAATGAGGAGGAGGCCACATGGTTGTAAAGTGACAGCATAAGACAGCAATGGTTATGGAAGAAATGCAGAGTAACACTGACGATTTTATAATTGGCTGATAAAAATTTAGGAGATCTAGTTTAAAATGTAGGAGGAGGTCATATAAAGATTATTTTTGTGACTGATTCCAAAGTGAGTTACTTTGTCCCAGACAATAAACAGGTCACATCAAATTTGGATTAATGAAGATTCCCATGAATCATTCAATATCCAACCACAAGAAGCTCAGCTTGAATCTACCAAGTTTATCCCACAAAGAATATAACTTTCACACCAACACTCTTCCAACCTTAGTCAGCATTCAGGAATGTTGGCCACAAAGTATGGAATCACCAACATTACTCATTTCACCTCATTCCTGCATTAAATGGAACTGTATTTATACCCTGGGAGATTAAAATATCACATATTCCTTTCTGTACCACTCAGTTCCCTGGATTCCTGGACATGAAGCCTCATTCTTGTTCCTTACCACTTGAGCACTCCTGAT